GGGGTTGTTAACCAATGTCATAAAACAATATGTGTAATACTGTTTCATGAGAAACTATTTGTTCTGTAAGCCTTCACCCGAAGTACAATTAAAAAAATAAAAATAAAAAAAAGAAGAAACTTAGTTTCTTGGGCCGTGTGTGAGTGAAAGGAGGGAAATTTAGACACTATAGGAATAGAGGAGGCCTGGTGGAGCAGTGGGTTGAGCTCAGCTGGCAACCAAAAGGTCAGCAGTTCGAATCCCCCAGCCACTCCTTGAAAACCTTATGGGACAGTTCTACTCTGTCTCATAGGGTCACTATGAGTCAGAATCGACTTGATGGTAACGGGTTTTGGTATAGGGCGGTAAATGTGTATGTCAAAAATTTAATGCCACCCTCAGGCCTGGTGGTGCAGTGGTTAGAGCTCAGCATTAACTCAAAAAGGCAATGGGTTTGTTTTTTAGGCCATGCTAACACAGAGAAATAAAATCACATTTGAGGAACTACAGTATATAAGGAACAGACTTTTTAAGGTAAATAGCTCTGAATCACCTTGTTATTGAAAAAATTTTTTGAAACGATATATGCAGCTATTGCTATTTAGTGTCTATACATTTTTTCCTGTCTTTTGGTCTATGTATAATATTGTTTTCTCGCTCTTACGTTCCATAGATTTGATACACACATATACCCTTCATTCTACATTGCTACATTTGGTTTAAAAAGAAACATTCTCTAATCATATTAAAGATGCCACACACATTATTTACTCATCCATTTAAGCTTTTCATGTTTCAAATTATTTACTATAAATTATGACTTCCCGGCAGTTGCACGTTTCACATTTATTTAAGCAAGAGTACCCTGTAAAAGAGTTACTACAAAATATGAGGTACTTTCTGCAACACCGCAGTGTGGAATGTGTTTAAATATTATGATTACTTTCATTATACGTGCCTCCCATTTTGCCCTCATTCTCAGTATTTGCTGCTCTGACATTAGGAACATGCACAGCTTTTGCTCCAAGAAGTTTTCAACCTTATTAAGAAGTGTGGCACCTGGTAGCAGAAATTGTCGATGAACCATCTACATTCAATCCTGCAAAGATTCTGCCTCAGCTAAACCTTAAGATCTTGGAGACACACTGGGTGTGTGATCTCTATAAATCTCTCATTGCCATATTAAGCTTGTTCCTCTACATCACTTTTTACTTTTGAATTACTAGGATTGGCCATATTCTCACGGAATCATGACGAAAATCTCTTACAACCAAAGAAATTCCTCGAAATGTGCCTCTCACTAAACATTACTCCTGAAATTGGGATAAACATGGTCTTAACGGCATGTATTAGTTCCAACTCATATTTCTTAATTCTTCAACCGTGTTAAAAACCTATAACCATGGGTGGGAGGGTAATATTCCTCACCACAATCTTACTTTTCTCTGATCAGCAATACTTAACAATACTCCTGCCTTGAAAAAGCACAGAAAACAAAGGAGAGCAAAGTGAGAGGCAGACTGGAGGAGGCGGGAGTACGCCGTTTAAGACACAAGTTAATTACTCTGGGCTTCCCTGAGGCCCGTGACTCTACCTTTCTCACAAACTCCCGGGCGTAGCTGACGCTGCTGGTCTGGGAACCACACTACGAATAGGCGAGGATTGAAACGACTTTACCTGTTTATGCACCGAGAAACCTAGGTGCAGTCCAGCAACTCCGCTGTCCAGACCCCGGAACAGGTGGACGCGTGCGGGTTGGGCCGGGCTCTCAGATAAGGCGGCGGCGGCAGGAAAGCGGCGACGGAGGCAAGAAAGCGGCCGCGGCGGAAGGAAAGCGGACGCGGATGAGGCAAGAAAGCGCCGACGGCGGCGAAGACGGGACGCCCGAGGCTCGGCCCAGCTACAGGAAGTCAGGATGGCGCAGGGGAGCAAGACAGCGTTCTTAGCCTCGTGGGCTGCACCTAATAATGGACCAGGCAGGATACAACAAACACAAAACCCACCTCACAGAGACGGAGAAGCGCAAGCCAACATGGCTGCCGGCCGTGGACGTGCACTTCCACTTCCGGTTTCTGGGACTCTGCGTGCGAAGGGGAGGGGTTGGTTCCGTGTGTGGACCCAGAGGCGCCATCCAGTGACCGTGGTGGTTCAGTGACTCTCTAGAATTTGGGATCTGTCTTTATTTCCTCTGTAGAGAAAAGCCTGAGTTTTCTTAAATGTGTGTTGTTATTGTTGTTAGGTGACCTCCAGTCGTTTCTGACTCAGCGACGGAACAGAACGAAAGGCTGCTCAGTCCTGCACCATTCTTCACAGTCCTTGCTATGTGTGAGCCCATTGTGTCAATCCATCTAGTTGCGGGTCTTCCCCTTTTTTGCTAACCTTCTACTTTACCAAGCATGATGTCCTTCTCTGAGGACTGGTCCCCCCTGATAAGATGTCTAAAGTATGTGAGACGAAGTCTCGCCATCCTTGCTTCTAAGGAGCATTCTGGCTATATTTCTTCCAAAACAGCTTTGTTTGTTTTTCTGGCACTCCATGGTATAATGCAATATTCTTCTCCAACACCATAATTCAAAGGTATCAATTCTTCTTCCATCTTCCTTATTCATGCGTATGAGGCGATTTCACATGTGTATGAGGCGATTGAAAATACCATGGCTTGGGTCAGGCGCACTTTAGACCTCAAAGCGACATCTTTCCTTTTCAACACTTCAAAGAGGTCTTTTGCAGCAGATTTGCCCAATGCAATACGTCATTTGGTTTCTTGACTGCTGGTTTCATGGCCGTTGATTGTGAATTCAAGTAAAATGGAATCCTGGACAACTTCAATCTTTTCTCCGTTTATCATGATGTTGCTTATTGGTCCAGTTGTGAGGATTTGTGTTTTCTTTATGTTGGGGTGTAATTCATGCGGAAGGCTGTAGGCTTTGATCTTCATCAGTAAGTGCTTCAAGTCCTCTTCACTTTCAGCAAGCAAGGTTGCGGCATCTGCATAACACAAGTTGTTAATGAGTCTTCCTCCAATCCTGATGTCCAGTTCTTCATACAGTCCAGATGCTAGGCTATTTGCTCAGCATACAGATTGAATAAACATGGTGAAAGGATACAACCCTGATGCACACCTTTCTTCACTTTAAACCACGCAGTATCACCTCGTTCTGTTCAAACGATTGCCTCCTGGTCCATGTACACGTTCCTCATGAGCACAATTGAGTGTTCTGGAATTCCCATTCTTCGCAATGTTATCCATAGTTTGTTATGATCCAAACAGTCGAATGCCTTTGCATAGTCAATAAAACACAGGTAAACATTTTTCTGGTGTTCTCTGCTTTCAGCCAGGATCCATCTGACATCAGCAATGATATCCCTGGTTCCACGTCTTCTGAATCTGGCTTTAATTTCTGGCAGTTCCCTGTCGATGTATTGCTGCAACTGTTTTTGAATGATCTTTCAGCAAAATTTTACTTGCGTGTGATATTATGATATTGTTCGATAATTTCCACATTCTGTTAGATCACCTTTATTTGGAATGGGCACAGATATGTATCTCTTCCAACCCATTGTCCAGGAAGCTGTCTTCCAAATTTCTTGACATAGACAAGTGAGTGCTTCCACCGGTGCATCCATTTGTTGACACATCTCAGTTGGCATTCTATCAATTACTGAGCCTTGTTTTTTGCCAATGCCTTCAGTGAAGCTTGGACTTCTTCCTTCAATACCTTCGGTTCTTGATCACATGCTACTTCCTGAAATGGTTGAATATCGACCAATTCCTTTTGGTACAGTGACCCTGTGTAGTCCTTCCATCTTCTGATCCTTCCAGTGTCGTTCAGTATTTTGCCCACAGCATCCTTCAATATTGCAACTTGAGGTATACACATATAAAATAAAGTGCATTTCATATACTAATCTTAAATATATAACTAGATGAATTTTTATATGTATTATATACTTATATAACCTTCTCTGACATCAAATTAGGGAAGTTTCTTAACACCCCAGAAGATTCCTGTTACCCTTTTCCCAGTTGGATACTCACATAATCTGAATCATACTGCATGAAGTATATTGTATTTGAGTTCATCTATTCAACATGATGTCTGTGAGACTTGATTTATGTTGTTACATATAGCAGCAATTTATTCTTTTTTGTCACTGTGTAGTATTCCAATAGATGAATATACCATAATTTTTCTTAGTCATTCATTTCATTCTGTTAAGGTTTATATTAGAACCTAGGATATGGCCTATCTTCCTGAATGTTTAATGGGCACTTAGTTATAACGTGTCTCTTCTATTGCTGGGTGGAGTGTTCAATCAGTATCAGTTAGGTCAAGATGATTGATGGTGTTGTTCAGGTCTTTTATATGCTTGCTGACTTCCATATCCTTATGATTTTTTCTATTTCATCAGTTATATTGATTTTTCCTTCATATATATTGAAGTTCTCCTGTTAGGTGTATACACATTTCAGATTATTATGTCTTCGTTTAATTCCCCTTTTATCATTATGAAATGTCCCTCTTTTTCCCTGATAATTTTCACTCTAGCCTTCTGCCCTTGTTAATTATAATGGTCTTTGTTTGATGATGAGAAGCTTTGTTTGAATTACTTGCAGTTTATCTATGTATTTGTTCAACTCTAGTTAAAACGTTGTTTCAGAATTGCTAACCAATGCCAATCTGAGAAACAGATTTAACAACTAATGCAGTAGTTCTTTGCAGTTTTCTTTGTGATTCGCCTTAGTTGCCAGGAAAACAAACAAATAAACAAACAAACCACGAAAGTTGTTTCAAAATTCTTCAGGTCAGCTCCTTTTTTCTCACCACAGTTAAGGAGATTACATCATACGTTTGTAGTAGAGTAAAATGAAATCATGCATTTTTTTTTTTTTTGTTTTGATCTGGCTGTTTTAACTTACAAAAAAGCATTTAAGATTTATCTATCTTCTGGTGTGAATCAACAGAAAGTTCTGTTAATTGTTGAGTAGTATTCCATTGTATGGATATACCAAACTTTGTTAATCCATTCACCTGTTGAAGACCATCTTGGTTGTTTCTAGCTTTGGTGATGATGAATAAAGCTGCTATAAAAATTCCGTACATGTTTTTGGGTAAACACAAATTTTCAGTTCACCTGGGTAAATACCTAGAAGTGGGAACACGGTGTCGTCTGGTAAGTGTTATCTTTTAATTTTACAAGAAATGGCCAGTTACCAGAGTGGTTGTAGTATTTTGCATTCCAACGATTAAATGAAAGTTCTTTTTGCTTTGCCTTCTCACCAACATTTGTAAGTCTCAGTTCTTTTTTATTTAGTCATATTAATAAGTGACAGTAGTATCTCATTGTGGTTTTTAATTTACACTTCCCTAAGACAAATAATGTTGAGCATATTTCCCTAATGACTGATAATGTTTAGCAATAACGTTGAGCATAAGCATTTATCTGCCATCCATATATCTTCTTCGATAAAGTGTATAGCTCTGAAATTTAAAAGCTCTCAACACATTTTCTTCTTTTTAATTCCTCTAAAATAGCAATCTTTTGCTTCCTCTATGACCTTTGTGGAGCCCTGGTGGCGTAGTGTTTAAGAGCTTACCTGCTCATTAAAAGGAGAGAAGTTCAAATCTACCAGTTGCTCCTTGGAAACCCTATGGGGCAGTTCTACTCTGCCCTGTAGGGTCACTTTGAGTTGGGACAACACCTAACAACAACAACATGAACTTTGCACTACATATTTCCTCTAACTGGATTTTCTTTCCCTAGGTATGCCATGGTTCATCCTTACGATTGCTGTAACTTTGTCATATGTATTGAAGTGGGGAAATATGAGTCCTCAAAATTTGTTCATTTTTTTTCAAAAGTTGTTTAGTCTATTCTGGTATCCTTGAAATTCTATAGGGACCTGTGAACTAGCTTTTCCATTTCTGCAAAAACAGGCTATTGAAATTTTTATAGGGAGTGCATTCACTCTTTAGATCACTATGGGTAATATGTAGATCTTAACAATATTAAGTCTTCCAATCCATGATCCTGGGATGTCTTTCCATTTATTTAGGTCTTTAATTTCTTTCAGGACTTGAAAAATACCTTTTAATGTATAGGTCTTTCACCTCCATGGTTAAATTTACTCCTAAGTATTTTATTCTTTTGGATGTTCTCTTCAATGGAATTTTCTTTGCTCTGTGAATAATACCTGATTTAGGACTTTGCCTGAGTCCCATAGTGTGGGGAACTCAGTGTTTCACTAACGTCTTCTAGGTATCTGGAATCCAAATATTTTCTAAATTTTTTAATATTACCTTGGAATGCTGAAAAGCACTGTGATAGATACAACATGGGTCCTGGTTGCTATAGAAAAACTTATTATAATAATAATAGTTTTTTTATGTTATTATAGTTACTAAAGTGATGCATGTTCATTGTAAAATTTCAGAAAAAATAATAAGAATGAAATGTTGTTGTTAGGTGCCGTCGAGTTGTTCCGACTCACAGCATCTCTATGTACAACAAAAGGAAACATTGCCCGGTCCTGCGCCATCCTCATAATCATTATTACATTTGAGCCCATTGTGGCAGCCACTGTGTCAGTCCATCTCGTTGAGGGTCGTCTTCTTTTTCTCTGATCCTCTACTAAGCATGATGTGAAAGAGTGTTTATTAATATCCCCTCTCCAACGAGTAGTTATTATCACCTTCATTTGACACATGAATAACCTGAGGACTAATGTCTGTCCAGCTGTGGGAGTCCCTGTATGGTGCTGTAAAAATGACATGGCAGAAGTGTTGGACCTCCTCTAACTTTTCAAGAGGGAAGGAGAGTTATTGTCAACAATAGCCCAAGGCTGATTCCTAAGAGGCAGAAATCAGCCATTCCTCCTGTTTCCAACTTTTTTACTTATTTTGACACCAATCATCCCTCCCACAGCACTCTCTGCTTCTCCCCTGGGTTAGATAATTCATTGCAATAGCCACACAGAACTCAGAGACAATATTCATGATAATGGGTATTAGGGAAGTACCAGGTTATATTTCAGGTTAGGTAA